CAGGGTCTATGCCACCGACTGTGAGCCACACCTCAGTTCTTCCCTTCTGCGTACTTTCCGCTCTGACTTCACGCTCTGCTGTGGCTCAGAAAACACCTGCTTCCTGGAATGCTCTTCCTGCCTCCTCTGACAGCCAGCCCAGCCTCTCTGAGACCCACGCCCAATGCTGTCTCTTCCAGAAAACCTTCGCCGCTCCCCTCTGCCCACCATCACCACGCACACAGCAGGAGTCTTTCCTTGCTCTTGACAGCATTTTGGGGGCGCCATTCCTGTGCCACCACACACCCCACCGCTGGTGTTTCAGCTTTGTGCACAGAGTCCCCAATCCTTTCTTTGCTGGGTGCTGTTCACCCTGGAGGTAGAGTCTACGCAGGTTCCAGACCTGATCCACGCAGCCGCCAGCACAGGAGAGTGGGGGTGGAAGCCCCTCCCACTGCAGCCCCATGACCGGGCAGCTTTGTCTGACAAGCTAAGTCACACAGATTCTCCTCCTTCCCTCTGGCTTCCCTTCCCCTCTCCCCCCACTTGATTGATTGAACGGGACTGTGTGGGACTCACCAACGAAGCATGAAATGGACCCACATGTTGCTGGGAGCCGCCCAATTAATCAAAGGGCTAGAGAAAAAACAAAAATGCTGGCTAAGACCAAAATAAATAATTGCCAAATTAGTCTCCATCTGTGAATTGTTTTCAGCAAACAGAGATCGGTCTTCCGGCCTGCTATGGTTGCACAATGAGGCTTCAGCCAGCAGGCAAGCGGAAGGAACTGAAAGTGTTTGGGAGCTAGGCTGTGCCCATGAATTTATTTTGGGGGAAATTCCATTGACTCAACTGGGGTGTATTAAGCACCTGCTACATATCTGACAGTCTGCTGGGCACTGGAGACACAGTGACAAAGGCTTTCTGTCCAACCATTGAACAGGCCAGTAGGCTCATAAAGAGAGGGGGAAGAGGCAAGATGGGCAGGCTTGTCTTGGTCATGCGGCCTACAGAAGTTCTGTCACTGCTTTGGGTCTTGGGGACTTCACCTGTGAGGTGGGATGACGGCCAGGCTGGTGAGGAGGCAGTGAGATCACATTCACATCAAGCAAGGCCTGCCTCCCCCAGCCTGCTTCATCATCTCTCGCTCCTTCCCTTCTCTGCCCGGAGCCCACGGGAGCCATTCCCCACTCAACACAAATGCTACTGGTAAATGGAGGGTTAAAAAGATAGCTCAAAGCCGGACCGGTTTGGCTCAATGGATGGAGCGTCAGCTTGGGGACTGAAGAGCCCCGGGTTCGATTCCGGTCAAGGGCATGTACCTTGGTTGTGGGCACATCCCCAATAGGTGGTGTGCAAAAGGCAGCTGTCGATGACTCTCTCTCATTGATGTTTCAAACTCTCTATCTCTCTCCCTTCCACTCTGTATAAAAATCAATAAAATATATTTTTTTAAAAATATATAGCTCAGGGAATCAAGTCCATGATGGTGACCTCATATAACTGCCTTCTGTAAGCAGACTGAACTAAAGAAGGTATTTTTTTTTATATTTCCTGCTGAAATGCTTCATCCTTTCTATGAGTCTCAAATGAAGTGCCCTTCCCAATTAAAATATCTTCGAAAGTATCTGAGATCCATGACTTCGTTTCCCTGTGTTGATGTAAGAACTGTCCAAACTTGTAGAGAATTTTTATGAAAGTTTATTTGAGCCAAACTGATGACATTGCCAAAGTCTCAAATGCTCCCAAGGGTAAGTTTTGCAGTTCCTTTTATGCATTTGGAATCAAGGAGGGACCATGAGGAAGATTACATGAAGGTGGCAGAAAGCCAGGCACAAGATAGGCACCAAGAGGTGTGCTCTCTTGGGTGTGGTTACACTTCCCAGGGGTCTGAAAAGAGGCATTTTTAAGGTGTATTAACCTAGATCAGTGGTCGGCAAACCCATAGGCAACAGAGCTGCAAACCGTGGCTCATGAGCCGCAGTTTGCCAACCACTGACCTAAATGAACAAAAACAGTGAACAGAGCTTGCTTAAGGGAAAAATAACTTTTTACTAGGGAAATTCTAGGCTTACCCATATAACCTCCCCAGTTAGGAATTTATGGTCAGAACACCCTGTGAGGTTACTTTTGGTTAGATTTATTACAGAGCTCATTTTTTATCCACACTCATTTTTCGATAGTATTCACATTGAGCAATAGATGAGATGACTCATATTTATTCAATAAATGTTTATTGATTGCCTGTCGTGTGCCAGCACTGTTCTGGTTTCTGGAGTTATTATAGATTAAAAAATCTCTGTTCTTCTAGCGAGCAAGGAAAAGTAACAAATATCGATGTGAAATACAGGGGTTGGCAAAGTGGGTTTATAGTTTACAGTTGTGAGTATATAAGACACAGAGTTTATTATTGTATTACTATTTATTATTATATTATACTAGCGTATTTGTATTACTTGTCTTATGGACTCAAATAAAACTATCCTATTCACATATCTATCTGCCATTATCATCCAGAGCAGAGATTCAAAACCCATCTAATGACTAAAATTGTTTGGAGAACTTTTTAAACAAACTTTCTCAGGAGTATCTCAGAAAAATCTAGAGATTGGGTCTAGGAAATGTCTGTGTAGCTTTAATGCTCACCAGGTAACGCTGACGGTCAGGATTGAAGGAGTACCTCTGTCCCAGATGGCTCCCTCAGAACCCCTGGACGTCCTGGGCTAGAATCGGAGACTGTTGCAGACTCTCACCATCCACACTGCTCATGGTTGGTTTCCAGAATAATTGGGTGTCGGGGAGTGGAGCAAGGGAAGGACTTATGTTCTCTTATAAAATTTCTCTTTCTTCTGTTAGAGAAGGGAGCAAGAAGCACATGGAAAAACTTTCTCCCATCCTAAGTAGCTCCTGGCAGCTGAGTAAAGTGCTGGAAGGAAAGGAATACACTAGCTATTAGGTGAGTCAGCCTTCTGCCCAGAGAACATCCATCCCAAGTAATAATCTAGCATAATCCCTAAGAGCATGGTCTTGGGAACCAGCTCTAGCACATAACCCCTGCTTGACTGTGGACCAGACAATATAGCCTTTCTGAATCCCATTTTTCTTACCTATAATACTCATCTGCCAATTCATTCGTCTTCCAATTCATCAATCCACCCATGTACTATCCACTCAGTGAAGCATCAATCCACCTACCTTTCCATTTAGCAATCTATCCATATCATCAAACCAGTCTTGGATGTCTAATGGCACCATGAGAATGAAATATCTTTATGGTTCTTTACGGTCTGAGATTTTGTGATTCCATAAAAATTGATGGATAGTGAGTAGGCTGCTCATATACAGAATGAATCACACTGTCAGCAAGCCCTCTAAGAGCTCCCATCTAGTGGAGAAGATTAAAAAAAAAAATTACACACCTGAAACCGGTTTGGCTCAGCGGTAGAGCGTCGGTCTGCGGACTGAAAGGTCCCAGGTTCGATTCCGGTCAAGGGCATGTACATTGATTGCGGGCACATCCCCAATGGGGGTGTGCAAGAGGCAGCTGGTCGATGTTTCTCTCTCATCGACATTTCTAGCTCTCTATCTCTCTCCCTTCCTCTCTGTAAAAAAATCAATAAAATATATTTTTTTTAAAAAAAATTAGAGCTGAGAGCAGAAGAGAAAAGAGCCTAAGAGGGCATGAGTGGCAGCATGAAGGGTGGTTGAATATAAAGTGGTCTGAGCCATACAGAGAAAGGTAGCCTTGTTTTTAAAATATGTGACAACCGCCTAGCCAGTGTGGCTCAGTAGTTGAGTGTCAACCTATGAACCAGGAGGTCATGGTTCAATTCCTGGTCAGGGCTTATGCCTGGGAAGGCAGCATGCAAGAGGCAGCTAATTGATGATTTTCTCTCAGCATTAATGTTTCTATCTCTCCCTCTCTGAAATAAATAAAAATATATTGTTAAAAATGTGACAATCATGGGTTTGAGGAGTACTAAAGGGCAGAATCTACCTCCCCCACTAGCCCAGGCCATGCTTCCGATTCCTACCCTCTTTTGGACACGGGCATCTGCTCCCAGGTGGTTTCTGCGAAAAGCACAGCTTGCCCGGGAACACATCAATCAGTACCTATCTGCAAGATTAGCAACCGCACCATCTGTGACTTCAGGGTCTCATTTTCTGAGCCTGAAAGCCGACATGTGACAAGCGCACACAGAGACAGACAAAGGGTCTGTTTGGAATCTGAGCAGCCTTAGAAAACTGCCTCGTATAGACGCTGTGGCTGCAGAATGGCTGAGCCCGAGAGATCAGGAATTCTGTTTGGAGGGAGCCTGAGAAACCTGGCTTTCACCTCATTTTGATGCATTGCTGGGCAAAGAGTATTCAGCAGAGAGCAACGAGTACCCAAACAGTAGTAAGAAGGAACCAAAAGTCAAATGAGAGCAGCAGAAAAAAAAGAGGAACGAGAGACTAGCAGGCAATCCTGAAAGAAAAAGAAGAAGAAGAAAAAAAAAAACAGGCAAAAAGTCCCACCTCCACCCCTACGAACTTGACTTCTCTGTCATTTTCTCACCTGGCTTTGCCTGGAGGGATTCTTCCAGGTCAGCCTGCATTAGAAGCAGCTGCCTGGGGCCTTGGAGAGGGTGTCACCCCTCCATGCTTCCCATTTCTACCCTCTGCATCACTTCTTCAAAGAGGCAGAGGGCTCCTGCCCCCAAGCAGTGGGGACTGCTCACTCTGAGAAGAGCTCAGGGATGTAGGTTCCCATGGGGTGGAAGGGCCACCAGAGAGCAGTTCCTGACATGCAGCTGTGCAAAGAAAGAACCTCTCTGCTTCCGTACATTAGGCTATTGTAGATAGTTCTCGTTCTCTAGGGCTGTCCTGACTCAGCTTCTCCATTCTTACACATCAAATGCTGCCATTCACTCCTCTAGGGGTCCTACAGCACTTGGTTTTTGCCTCTTTTTCACCTTGTATTACTTTTGTATTGAAATCTCGCCTTTCCTCCTCCAACTTTATTGCTAATATGGAAAAGATAGAGTGCTTGCTTTGGAAATAAACTTGAAACAACAAAGAGAAAATTAGCACAGACCCTGCACAAAGGGCATATGCAAATTCGCGAAGCGTTCCATATTTTTTCACTTATATGTGGAATGTAATGGACAAAATAAACTGATGAACAAAATAGAAACAGAGACATGGATATGTAGAACAGCTGTCAGAGGGTAGGGGGTAGGAAGAACTGAATGAAAGAAGGTGAAGAGAGTAGCAAAAGTGCACATATGGCTGAAACCAGCTTGGCTCAGTGGATAGAGTGTCAGCCTGCAGACTGAAAGGTACCAGGTTCAATTCCAGTCAAGGGCATTTACCTTGGTTGCGGGCACATCCCCAATAGGGGGTGAGCCAAGAGGTAACTGATCGATGATTCTCTCTCATCGATGTTTCTAACTCTATTCCTCTCTCTTCCTCTCTGTAAAAAAAAATCAATAAAATATATATTTTTTGAAAAGTGCATATGCATAACCCATAGACACAGACAGCAGTGTGGTGAAGGCCAGGGGAGGGGAGAGCAGGGGCTGGGTGGAGGTGGGGAAAATGAGGAACATCTGCAAAGTGTCAACAATTTAAAAGATAAGGGTAAAATCCTATCTATGTAGTATTAGCCACATAGTTTGTCAATATCCTATATAATAAAAGCCTAATATGCTGTGTCTGGTTGTCCAGTCATCCGTTCAACCAATCAAAGTGTAATCTGCTAATGATATACTAAGGCAGCTCAACCACTTGCTATGACACACACTGACCACCAGGGGGCAGATAATCTGACCCGTAGATGAGTGAGATGGACCGGACACACCCTGGATCCCTCCTGCATCCCTCCCCAGCCCCAATTGTGCACTGGTGGGGCCCCTCGGCCTGGCCTGTGCCCTCTTTTTTTTTATTATTGATTTTTTTATGATTTTAATTTAATTTATTTATTTATTTTTACATATTTTATTGATTTTTCCCCCTCCCTCCCACACATCCCCTCCCTCCCCAGAGCTTTATGTCCATTGGTTGTACTTATATGCATGTATACAAGTCCTTCAGTTGATCTATTATCTCCCCCAGTTCCTCCTCCCCTCCCCGCTGAAATTTGACAATCTGCTTGGTTCATCAGTTTATAATGATCTTTATTATCCACAAATGAGTGAGGTCATGTGGTGTTTCTCTTTCATTGATTGGCTTATTTCACTCAGCATGATGCTCTCCAATTCCATCCAGGTTGCTGCAAATGATGAGAATTCCTTCTTTTTTATGGCAGCAGAGTATGGAATACTCTGCTGGCCTGTGCCCTCTTGCAATCTGGGCTGAGGGACACCCTCCTCTCCCCCCCGAGTGCATGAATTTCCTGCACTGGTCCACTAATTGTAGTTTGTGTTGTCCAAACTTTTACAGGGGACTATGTTAGATTATCATTAACAAGTAGGTAATAAAGAAAGCTGTGCTTTTTGGGGGTTATCCAATGTGCTTATGTCTGTCTTATGGATATTAGATATAAGTCCACGTTGATCAGAAATTCCTTGGTAAAGTCTGATTTTTTCATTCTCCTTTTAAAGTCAAACAATTGCACTAAACCAAGTCAAACTAAAAGGACCTCAGAAATCATCCAGGGGAGTACCCCTTCCCCGATTTTACAGACAAGATTGCATCGTTTCGACCTAGTCATGCCTTCAGCTAGGACTGTTCCGAAGCAACAAGCATAGTGACAGTCCTGGGCCCTCTCGCCTACCCGTGCCCCACAGGGTTCAATGCATAGAGCCCGGGGCACAGTGGGGTATGGCAGTGCACCCACTTCTCATCAAACCCTTCCTCTCCACTTTGCTCCTCCCAGAAAGTACAAATAGCCTGAGCAAGTGCTATTTCCACCCTTACAGACGTGGATGTTCCTCCTTCTCTATCCAAATTAGTCCCTTTAAGAAAAGGGGGAAGGAAACCACTGGTCACTCCTGGGATTAGTCACAGACACACAAGTTCAGTGTGGAACCGAATCCCAGTCCGCACCCTCTCAAGCTTCTTTCCTCGCAGCTGGGTAGGAAGGGGAGGTCATCAGTGTCCCCCCCAGAAGCACTCAGCAGCAGGTGGTCAGGGAGAGGAGAGTGCCCTCTCCGCAGGCCGCCCTGAAGCACAGAGTGATGGTTCTGAAGGTTAAAACCAGTGACGGACACGGTGGGGACAGGCACAGGGAGACTTGCAGAACAGTTACTGCAGCAAATATGGCCAAAGTCACGTGTGCAGGTCCAGACCGGCCTTGGGTGCTGAGATACACAAGTCAGTTCCGGCCCTGTCACTGAGGGTTCCAGTGAGCTTCTCCTCTGCTTGTTGGTAGAAGGAAACCCAGGGTGTCTAATGAGAAAGGCTTGGCTGGCCAGCATCTTTGCTCCCCTCCACTGTTTTTCTCAGATTCCCTCAGGGAGAGACTAGGAGAGAAGAGGGGGCGGGGAGGGGAAATGGGGATGCCCATTTGGGAGATAGGACACTGAGGCACAGAAGGGTTAGTAACATCCCCAAGTTAGGCAGCTGGTTAAGGCAGCTCAGAGCCTCAGAGCCAGGCCTCTGCCTCGCTGGTAGGAGTTTTCCTCAACCCTGAGAACCAGCTATGGCAACCTCAGTGGGTCCTCCAGAAGCCCAGAGGGCTTGCCACCCGACAGTGTCTCCTAGCAACAGCAACACAAGCCCCGACCCCTCCCTCTCTCTCTCTCCCTCTCTCTCTCTCTCTCTCTCTCTCTCTCTCTCTCTCTCTCTCTCTCTCTCTCTCTCTCTCTCTCTCTCTCTCTCTCTCATACACACACACACACACACACACACACACACACACTCATACACATGGTCTCAGCTGAGATGAGGTAGGGGACGGAGGGGGGGGGGTGGCTCTCTCCTGGAGGCTAAGAGTCTCCTCTTGATGCCTCTGGTTCTCACTTTTCTCCTGTTCAGCTCTGGCGGCCACCCCAATATTATGCCCCACAGTTATTCTCCTTTCCCTTCAAACTCTGCCCAAGCTGGGCCAGCAAGTCCTCTTCTTTCTTTCTTTTTAAATCAAATCTTTATTGTTGAAAGTATTACACATGTCCCTTCCCCCTACCCCCACCCCCATTGACTCCTTCTAGCCCATCCCAGGCCTCACCACCCCACTGTCGGTGTCCTGGGTTATGCAATATGCACATAAGTTCTTTGGTTGATCTCTTCCACCTGCCCACCCTCCCTGGCCCTCCCTCTGAGATTCTGCAGTCCGTTCTATGCTTCTGTGACTCTGGATCACAAGCCCTTTTCTTCTTTCCCAAAAGCAGAGGAGAGACAGCCAGACACTTCCCCACAGGATAGCCTGAACAGTGGCCAGAGAATTGTGACCAACAGTAAGAGCAGAATCCCCCCTGCCACCTCCTCACAGGAGCTGTGTCTGACGCTGAGAGAGCTACAGACTCGCCCCCGAAGGCAGGGCCTCCTCCCAGGCACCGGCTTCCCAGGAGCTTGCCTCCGCTGTGGCCGGCATGATGGCGATTCCTCTGCCTCCATTTCCTCATCTGTAAAATGGGGATCTAACCCGCTTTGGGGGTCCCTGTGAAAACTACGTAAGGTTCTGTGGAGAAGGCACTTAGCGTACCGCCTGGCACATAGCGGGCCTCCAGTCGTGGCTTCTGAACTCCGTTCCACCCCAGAGTTCTGAGGCTCTAGGATCCACAGTGAGTGGTAACCAGAGAGGCACTCACTGTAATGTCTCTTTCTCTTCCCTCCAATCACCTTCACGCTAGCATTTGGGGTGGGACACCTTGTCCTCACTGCAAATTGGCCTGTAAAGACAGTCCCACTGGGAGGGCAGTGTCGCTGGGGGTGGAGAAGGAGCCCTCCCGGAAGGTGTGCCCTGGGTGCTGGACTTTCCTTAGGAGCTCCTGTCAGACGTGGGGCGGGGGCGGGGGCAGGGAGCAGGAGGTTTCCTGAAGCTGGGGGGCTGTGAGGAAGGGGACCGGGGGACAGCCTCCCATCCCCCCACCCCTGTGTGTACAGAGATCGCCCGGGGCAGAGCTTAGGTGGCAGGAAAGGCAGAGACGTGTTACCCAGCTTCCTTAGTTCTGAGAAGTGCAGATTCCGAATCACAGCCGGAGCTCTGTCATTCAGATTTTATATTGAGATAAGAAAAGTCACACTACAACAGTCATCTTTAAGTTTTAGTAGAAGTCACTTCTTGCTGAGCAAATGTTTCAGTGCTAGCTGCCTGCTAACACATTGTAGGCCCCTGAAAAGTGGGTTTTATGGGGAGAGGATCGATTCAGCATCCCTGGCATAGACCACATGTAGACGGAGGTTTGTTGAAGGGAAACCTCTCCAAGGTCACTCGGCTGGTCAGTGCTGGGTCCCAGGGACGGGGCTCCTGGAGGCTCACCTGTCTGCGGTACTGACTGGATCCCCTGATCTCTGCTTTACATCTCTGCGATTATTCTTATAACTGACCATCTGTACTTCTTAATCCCTTTGACCTAAAGGATTGTAACAACTGTGGGTAGTGCCGGGTGGGTACTAGACTTATCAGGTGATCACTTCTTAAAGTATATAAATGTCTAATCACTATGTTGTACACATGAAAACTAATATATTGTTTATGACTGTAACTAAAAAACAAATTTTTAAAAAAGCTAAAGAAAAAAACAACCATCCCGAGCACTCTCAGAATCGCTGGAAGACTTGTTAAACAGTCTCTGATCCAGGCAGTCTGAGACGGGGCCCCAGAGTCTGCATGTCCAACCAGTTCCCAGGGGAAGCTGGTGTGGCTGGGTCAGGGGCCACAGTGTGAGAACACCTGCTTCAGGGCAACAGCCCTGGTCACATCAGCCTCTGCCACCAGGAACCAGGGATAGGAGTCCTTAAGCACAACTCACAGCCCTAACCCATTTAGTTCAGTGGATAGAGCATCGGCCTGCGGGCTGAAAGGTCCCAGGTTCGATTCCAGTCAAGGGCATGGACCTTGGTTGCTGGCACATCCTCAGTAGGAGGTGTGTAGGAGGCAGCTTCAGTGTTTCTCTCTCATCGATGTTCCTAACTGTCTATCCCTCTCCCTTCGTCTCTGTAAAAATCAATAAGATATATTAAAAAAAAAAAAAACCCT